TAGATCTAATGATACATTATCTTCATCAATATATTTGCTAATAACTTTAAGTATTTTATCTTTTAAACTTGTTTCTTCAACTAAAATCTGATTATTTTCTTCATAACCTAATGATGCTCAGATTAATTCTTTAGCAACTGTCTTGTAAAATTTTAACACATTTCTTTTTACTATCTTGAGTCCTTTTAATAAAAGTTTTGGTTTTTCAAATTCAACATCTTTATGCACATAACCACAATACTGTTTTTTTTGTAAGTATAAAGCTGGTATCATTGTTTTTTATATACTATCTTTAAATAAAGTTGACCAGTTAGCTCTTGTAAATGTTTGTTTATCTCTTTTTCAAGTATTATTGATTGTTTTATTGTTTTTTTTATTATCTCGTATCAGTAGAGTTGTTTTATCTTTCTTTAAATATTTGTTAATATTTTTTTATTCTTTATATTATATTTAATATCTAAATATTAAAAATATTTTTCTAGTAATATATAAAAAAATGAATCTGTATCTCCGTAAATTATATTATAACTTTTTTGTTCTGCAAATTGTATCATTATTTTAAGCATTGAACATGCAAATCCTGTGACAGATGAAGAAACAGATTTAAGATAACAAGGTAATTTTTGATAACCAGTTTCTCCATAGATTGAATTTGCAATTGTTTTTAAAGCATCTTGTAAAGAATTATAATAAGAATATTTTTGTTTGTTTTTAGCATTATTCATCTTTTTTTTTGCTATAGCACGTTCTGCTAATAACATTTTACACATTAATGGTATCAATTCCATTTTAGTTTCATCATTGTTATATTTTCTAAATTTACTATAGATTATTCTATTATCTGTTGTCATATTTAGATTTTCTTCTTGTAAATTAATATCAATATTGGTGTCTAAAGAAATATTATTTGTAATTATAATATTTGGATAATAAGCTATAAAATCAACATCGGCAACAGAACGATTATTTGAATTTTTATTTAGATTCAAATTTAAGCCACCACTATATTTATCTTCGATCACTTCTCCTTTTCTACAAGAAGAAACTAACATATCATGTTTTGCTGCATTTCTTTCATAAAAATTTCTTACCAAACAATCAACTCTATTTGTAAAAATATTTGATATTGTGATACAAGTTAGAGTTGCAAATTGTATATAATCACCAATTATATTTCATTTAATCATAAGTTCATATAAACGAGCTGTATTAACTAAACAATAATATGCTAATTCTACAGTATATTCTTCTAATATTAAGGAGTCTTGTACTATCATAGCTTTTTTGCATTTGTCTAATGGAATCTTTGTTAGATTAGATAATTGCTCTGCTAATCTTATTAATAGCTAAATATCATTCTTAAATTTAATAGCATTTATATAAATAAACATGCTATATAAATTTTCTGATAATTCAGGTATATGAGGCAAATCTACTTTTTCTGATAAATTACAATGTTTTAATATAGTATCCAAAGTATTTTTTATTTTTGTAGGAAATTTTTTTTTTGCCCAAATTAAAAGATCGATAAAAACTATTCTGGAGATTTGGTAGTATTCATATATTATTGTTTCATTTGGATTTACTTTTATATTTTGATTAGAACTATCGATTCTATAAATTTTTCTCTGCATCTTTTCATCAATATCTTTTTCAACTACTTTTATCATAGTTTCTTTGATATTATTTACTATATTTTCTTGTTCTAATATTTGACTAATTTCTTTTTCAATATTTAACATATGTATTTTTTTAGTACAAAATTCTAATCAAATCCTCTAGTATTAAATCCAACCTCAAAAGAAAGTAAATATTTTTTAATTAATTCAAAAAATTTTATAATTAGTTCTTCTTGTGATTGAACAATAATAAAATGATTGTTGCCATATTTTTATCATATAAAATTTGATTAACTAGAATTTCTGTTAAACAAAAATATTTAATTGATATCAGATTTGATAGAAAACAGAAATCTATTTGAATCATATATACATAATCTTGTTGTTCTTCTCCGACAGGAAAATATCTAGACTCTCTTGTACTACTATATTCTATATCCCAATATAATAATATTAGAGGAATTTGTGTTGTATATTCTGTTTTTATTATATCATCAAAAGTTATTTTCATATTGTTTGTTATTGTTTGTTTGTTAATTTGATACCATCCAACTAACTCAAAATTATTTTCACGTGCTATTTTTCGATAATGACAAGTGTTATCATCTGAATAAGTATCATATTGTTGCCAATATTCTTCAAATTCTTTTTGATTTTTTTCAACATCCACTGATTGAAACTTTTCTTCTATAATCAACTTTAATACTTTTTTTCTTTTGGTTAGATTTTCGAAATAAAGACGAATAAATTTATGTTTTTCTGTTGAATCAAATGGTTGTTTCTCAATAATTTTATAACTTGATGGGTCAAATTCATTGATATATTCTAATATACTTTTACTTTGTTGTGTTAATTTAATATCAAAAAATATTTCTTCGATCTTTACATTAAATATAAATCTTTTTCCTTTAGAATTAATTGTGTATAAACAATGTAAATAATATTTATTGTATAAAGCTGATGAATTAGCAGCATCGTAAATATAAAAAATATTTGATATTTTTATTTTTGTATAAATAAAATTCTAGTTGGTCAAAAGACTAACTAGTAGATATTTTAAAAATAATTGATATATAATTATTATTAGAGCTATTATAATTAAAAAATTATTAATTTATTCAAGAATAAAAATAATTTTTCTTTTTTTTTCTATTTCTTCTCGTAAAGATTTATATTCAATATCATTTTTAATATTAAATTTAAAATTTTTATAATGATATTTAAAAATTAAAAATTTTAAATTTATATAAATAAATTTCTATTTGGTCTTTCGACTAAATAGAAAATAATTACTACTAAAAATAATTATTAACTAACTCTGATTAGTTACTATCCAATCCAGAAAACTGATTATAATTTTTAAATCGAATTGCTATTTGTTTTAATTCATTTAATTTAGTCAAAATAATAGTTCTATAAATATTATCTTTAGAAAGTATTTTATAGAATTTATATTTTTCAATCCTAACAATTTCTTTTAATAAAATATCTATCAATGGAGAAACTATTGCATCCTTTTGATTTTCATGTTTAGACTTTAAAAACTTATTAACAACTTCAAGAATTTCTTTATCTTCTGTTGCTCCATCATAAAATAAACATTCAAGATAGTTATATAAACTTTTTTTTTGATCTGCTAGTTTTACAGAAGATATTTTAATTTATATAATAAAAAAACTATCTGGTCAAATGATGACTAGATAGTATAAAATAAAAAATATTTACAAAAATAAATTTATATTAAATAGTAGTAAGTTCATCAAATAACTTATTAAAATAATTCTTCTCATACTCTTCAACAGTACAATTATTTTCAATTTTATTATGAGATGGATAAATTTTATTAATTAATTTCTTGTAAAAATCAGATAATTTGATTAAATATTCATCAGTATAGATTTCTGCTTCTTGATCTCTTTTTCGTTGTCTTTTAATTATATTTTTGTCTGTAGGTTTTAAATAAAGCACTTTGTTAATGTTTTCTATTTTAATTTCTTGTCTTTTTTTCTCTAAAAAATCGATAACTTCTTTGTTTTCAGTATTCATTAATGTGAAAACTTCAGTATCAATATGTGTTCGATAAAATATTACAAAATTATATGAATCAATCATATTAATTTCCACAGCTTGTTTTTTGTAGAAATTAAGAATCGCATATTGAAAAAACAAAGCATTATTTTTTGAATCTTTACAGAAAAGCTTTAATTCATCATCAAGTAATAAAGATGCTTTGACTGGACAATAAACTTTATATCCTTTTCCTTTTAAATAGCTTATAAATTTTTCTTCAAATATTGATTTTCCTACACCAATAGCTTCTGTTAATACAATAATTTTTGGTTGTTTTGTTTTAATTTTTTTTCTTTTAATTACTTCATTAGGATATTTTCCCTTTAATCGTTTTAATATTTTTTGTTTGATTTTGTTTGTATATTCACTTTCTACAACTTTTAAAGTATTATTATATTCATTTTCAATATTAATCTGAATAGCTTCTGAGGAATATTCTTGTTTTAAGGCATATTCTTTGCTATCATTAAGAATATTAATCAAATTCTTTGCTATAATTTCAAGTTCAGTGATATCATTTTTTAAATAAAAATTTACAGAATTAAAATTCTATTTGGTAATTATACTGAATAGATTTAAAATAGCTTATATCTATGATCACTACATTTAATTCTCATTTTTCTAATTTTATATCTTCCATCAATTTTTATACCAAACAAATATATAGTAGATTCATCAGAATCAATTTCAAGATTTTCAATTATCAAATCATTTAATTCAAATAAATTTTTTTGTAACTCTTCATTTTCCAATTTTAATTTTGTTGCTTTAATTTTTTTGATCACATTATCTTTGTGACAAAGAATAATCTGTTGTTTTGAATTACTTGTCTTATTGTAAGCATTTAAAGAATAAGTAGTATTTGTGACAAAAAATCTTATAGTACCTTCTGCTTGTTTTGCTAATACTCCAGAAAATTCTTGAATATCACTTGGTCTAACCTTATATTTTTCTGCTTTGTTTTTAACCTGTATGATATAGTTTATCGATCTATAATTACCAAATAAGTCAATCCCACCATTGCCAATAGGAGTAAATATTGAATTGACAAAATAACCTGTTCTTGTTGCATTATATTCAATTGAATTTTCTTGTAAAAGTTGTAAAAGAAAAAGTTAAGTTTGTCTCTTTTTTGTTTTGGCGTTAACTAAAAATAAAAAAAAATATGAGTAAATTGTTGTCATTGCTTCAATCAATATTTCTAAT